TCAGAGAGAGAGACAAACCGTGGGAGACTCTGGATTCTGGGAAACAAACTGAGGGTTACAGAAGGGAGGGGGTGGGGTAACTAGGTGATAGGTATTAAGGAGGGCACATGTTGGGATGAGCACTGGGTGTTATACACAAATAATGAATCATTGAACACTACACCAAAACTAATGATGTACTATATGCTGGCTAGTTGAACATAATAATTAAAAAAATAAGTAATATTCCAGAAAAAAAAGATTGACAGTTTGATGTTTTATTTTAAAAGTAAAGAATAATGAATTTTCATATTCAGGGAAATGAAAATTAAAACTGAAATATGATCAAAACATACACCTCTGTAGGCAAAAATTTAAAAGTTTGGATTGTACCACAACGTTGGTGAGAAAATGGGGCAATGGGATCTCTCATCTGTTATGAAATACATGTGACCCTATTAGAAAAGGGTCTATGACCCTAGGTATATACCCTAGAAAAATTCTTGATATTAGCTCAAGTATACATCAACAGTAGAATAGATAAATACATAGAGATTCTTTGATCTAGCTGAGTACCATATAACAATGGAAACAAATCAAAACCACATGGAACAAGGTGGATAAATCTGAAAACAATAAGTGAAAGATACATGGCTCAAAAACTACATATAATTCCACTTAGGTAGATATTAAAAAGGAAACCTAAACTCTATATTGCTAATGAATGCATAGATATCCTTTGATAGTGAAATGGGAAAAGGTAAAGTGGTGAAAAGAAAAGCTACCGAACACTTTTCTCCAAAGATAACCTCTTATGTAGGGGAAAAGAAATCTAAAGTGGCACATGGGCAGATCCTATGATACTGGCAATATTTTGTTGCTAAACTTATTGTTTAATAAGAATGCCTGTTCTAATACTATTCTTTAATTTGTATATTTATTATTATATGTTTTTCCTGTATTATATAATTCACTGCACAAATCCCAAATAAAATGTCAGATCATGTTATTCCTTTGACGGAACCCTTCAGTGCTTTCCATCTCACTTGGAATACAAATTATGTTGGCTAGTGATTATCTTCCTTATTGAAAATCTAGTTTCACTTTTTCTTTTTTTTTTTCATTCTTTAAGTCTGAGAGTGTTCTATACATAATAGGTTTGACTTTTAGTAGTTTCTGCTAAGCCAGGTTCCAATTCTGCAGTTGTGTTTTATTTTCCTTGTGACCTGACTTTATCTCCTTCATCTCCTTGACTTCTTCTTTTGTAACCTTTAACTTGGTCCTTGTTACCTACTCATTTTATTCTATTTTCTTCTTATGATTTTTTTGGTCCTTTTCTACCTCTTCTTATATTTTATTGTGAATGCAAATCGGTTTTGTGACATTTTTCTTCTGGATCCTATACAGTCCTCTACTTTAGTAATAGTGTTAAAAATAGTAACTCTCATAGCAATAAAATAATATTTGTACTTATTTTTACTTGAACACTTTTTATCTTCAAACCACTATATTATATTAAACACATCACATCCACTTTTTATTAATTTTTAAAAATATCATTATATTATATTTTATTATATTCACTCTAGTGATGAATAATAGGAACTCTAGGAAAGTTGAATAAAAACTTCCATAGTGGTGGAAGGCTGTCATACAGATACCTGACTTTGGAATCTCTGCTCCTAAATTCTGTCTTTACTGCCACTCTGTTTAAATTATGTTTGAATTGAACTTCTAAAAATCCAATAATAGATCTACCTGTTACTAAAAGAGCTTCAGTTCTAATAAAGCTAAATATATAAGATCCCTTTGTGCCCCCTTTATTTATACTTGTATATGGAATTTTTAGACTCTGTCTAGAGGCTGAATACAGTTGAATTTTGGTCTCAGGGAGAGAAAACTGTGAGATAATTATTATTCTTCCTTACTTATTGAGTTACTTACACCTGAATAAGAGAGATGTCATTCTTGTTATCTAGTTGGTACACTCTCTGAGTCATGAGCTAGATGGTAAAGTGTTTGGAGGTTTGTAGCTCTTTGTAGACCAAGAAGATATTTCATGAAGCCAAACCATGTTTTGAAGTATGAGTAGATTTTTCTCAATCGACTTCCATCTAGTTTACAGTTAGTTCACCAGTTACTAGATTCTAGTATAAGTTTATCATCAGTGGTAAGATTGCTAACTTTCTCTAAAGGGCTATTTGGCATTGTAATAAAAATTTTAGAGACAGTGCTTAAGCACTTTGAATTAGAAGTTGATTCTTGCACATAGATTGAAATCTTGTTTTACACTGCTTTGCTCTGTATGTATATTATATATGTGAATATGCTGTCTTTCCAACTAGATCATCAGCAACTTCAGAGTATGGTTCTGATTTCCATTTCTCTTGATTCCAGTGAGTAAATAGTTCACTAATTTGCATTAAGTAAGCATTGAGTAATATCCTAGGGGGAAAATTCTTTCTCTTTCTTCTATTTTTAATTTCTCTGAAATATTAGAGATGAATGCAGAATATAGAATGAATATAGAAAATATTCCTTACCTTTCTGGGTATTAGTGGAATAGGTGAGAGGAAGAAAATGCTCAAAGGAAAAGTTCTATGTAAACTATTTACAAAACTATGTATTTAACAAATATAATAATCAGAATGCCCAATCTGAAATAAGTCAAGTCTAATATATGTTAAATGACAATGGCTGGGGAAATAAAATATTTGAAAATTTACATTATCCATATTACTCAATAATATTCATGTCATATTTTTCAGCCTGCAAGTTTGCTATTTTTTTAAAAAAATATGTTTAATCAAGTTTGGGAAATATTAAAAAAACATTGTTTTTCAAATTGGTACTGCTTTCAATGTTGATGAAATGCTACTTAATGCAATTTTCAAATAAATAGGAAGCACAAAATTGTGAATTGATCATATCACAGTCTGTCCTCACTTCTCAGATATTTACCAGTGATACTTCATAGGAAGAATCACATTTAAAAAGCTCATTGTTTTAGAAGAGTTCATCTGAAAAATTGCAGACTCTGTGGCCTATTTATAAAATAATTCAGATGTGGGTGATGATAACTATTTGCCAGTGTTAATGTAAAGATAGTAGTTATTTGATATTTTGCCAGCTTTTAAGTCATACTGGAAAAATTTACAAGAATCAATGGATTCTTTTAAAATGGAAATATTGGAGGCTTATGTATGAGTAAGATGATCAAACCTCTTGGAAATTAAGAATTTTACAAATTCTCAACAATTTTTTTTTGTGTGTGTGTGTGTGTATAAAAAGGCATTTTTGATACATGAGCAGTACAAAGACATTTCAGTAATTACAATTCATCCATAAGTAGTTTACCATAACCTCAAAAATATATTTACATATAGTCAAGAGACATAAATGATCTAGGGATGAAGTATTCATTTGCTTTGAGTGCCTGGTAAATTTCAAATTCTATATTAGAAAGAATGACTGTCACAAAGGTGAAGAATCAAGCTGAAAGAAGTACTAATTATGACACTTGTATGAGACTTAAACCAATCTGTGAGTTTTTTTCACATTTCACATTTTGAACTTCCAGATTTAAGCCAGGCTCAAGAAAGAAAAATGGAATTAGAATGAGAAGATTACACTTTGGAAGGGTATATGAGTTGTCGTTTGTTATCACTGTGTCTTTGAATATTTATGTGGAATTCACATGAGTTTGTGATGAAGATATTCACATATATTCATCAAGAAATATTATTTATTATTTTCAGAATCTTTTAGTTACCTAGGTTCTTTATCTTTTCATATATATATCAGGAGTCAATTATTTAATGGAAAAAGAAATCCTCACTTGTTTTAAAACCACTGTCTTGGGGCTACTGGTGGTGTAGTCGGTTGGCTGTCTGACTCTTGGTTTTGGCTCAGGTCGAGCCCTGTGCTGGGCTCTGTGCTCAGCTTGGAGTCTGCTTGGGATTCTCTCTCCTTTCTCTTTCTGCCCCTCCCCCCATTCTCTCTCTTTCTCAAATAAATAAGTAAATCTTAAAAAAACAAAACAAAACACTGTCTTACACAATTTTCTATAATCATAGGTTGTTTTATCTGTAGAAGGTTAACCCTTCCCTGGAAGAATAAGCTATAAGAAATGATCTGCTTAATGGGTGACCACAACTTGGATGCCCTGTTGGTGACCAAATCTTAGTAGTCTTGGACTAAATCCATCATTTTTCCATGTCAAGCTAGCTTCTCTTCTCTTTGCTATTTTGGTGAACTGATGTCTCTATGCAGTTAGCAGCCAGGAATGTGGAGGTATTCTAGACACTCTCTTCTTTTGTTTTACTCATAGTCTTTCACCAAATCATATAAGTTGCGTATTTTTACCTATTATGAATTTGTCCCCTCCTACCCACCCCTATTGTAGAGTTTTTGTCAATACCCTCATCATCTCTTTGGGCTAATGAAATGCTCCTCTAATCACCCATCTGTCATTCTACTGCCTTGCATAATGGCTCCATGTCATCAGCTGATAAATTAGAAAATCAAATTGTCCATAAACTGTCCTTAAGATCCTATATAACAGCTCCTGCTTGCCCCTTTCATCTGGTCTCTTTACAGGCCTTGAACCCTAATTGTAGCCATTCCAAGTTTCATACACTTTTCAAATCACAGCAGGCTTTTTCCTAACTGCTTCTATTCATGTTTTTTTTTTTGCTGAAAGTTATCCCCACTCCCCACCTTCCTTCACCATGCATCTTCCCTAGCTGGCATACTCATTTTTCAATATTCAGATCAAATAGGTAAAATTGATAACTTTCTTTTGTGCCCTATATACACATAGGTCTTTCGCAGTAGCTATGACACATTATTAACTGTCTGTTTACTTGTCTATTTTGCCATGATACAATAAAAGTTGCTCAAGTGTAGACCTTCTACTTTATTCATCTTTGTATCTTCAGAAAACTGCAAAGTTTTAGAAAAAGAGTTTATGGTTAATAGATACTTGTGGAATTGACAGGTGAAGTAACAAAAGTTAATACCTGGGTTTTCAATAGGGATTTCAGGTGGAAGTCATATTTTTTGATTACTGTTGAGAGGCACTGTCTGGAAAGAAAAAAAACAACTTTGTTTAAAAGTGGGTAGGAAAACTTATATTAACTTTAGCATATTTATCATAAACTCTGTTTTGTCCATGATTCTATAGCAGACATGGTTAAAAAAGGGTTGCTATTGACACGATTTTAAAAACCATTTCAGATGAATGTTTATAAGTTTTGCGCAACTTGATAGGCTACAAACATGTTTGAAAACCTTAGAACTCCAAAAAAAGTCCATGACAAATTAACCAAACCTCTTAAAGACTGTTCATTGTATCAAACTACTCTTAATTCAAAATGTAAGTTACAAAAGGATTCATGAGCAGAAATGACAAATACTAACATCAAGAATTGTTAAATATGCAAAATCTTGAAGAGAATTGCTTTCAGAATTAATGACATATATTTATAATAGATAAGGTTGTCTTTGACATCAGACCTCTGTGTTTTTCTTTCCTGAGCTGCTCTTATTGCTCCAACTTTGTCTATGCTTCGGTGGAATAGGTGTGAGATTAGTAGAGGTTCTTTTGACTTCACTTATCAAAATTATTTTCCTAAACATTATGACTTTCCCTTCCTATTTGTCCCAAAAACTCCTGAATTGAATTGAACAAATCATACAACACAAAAACATTGTTAAGACGCACCAATATATTTTACAATAGCGGCCTTCTCAGCCTTTATTAAATCATCACTTTAGTTGCATTACGTGTAACAGTTCAAAGACAAAATTCACAGGCTATGTAAAAAGTCAGTGGAGGTATAGGAAAAGAATAGTGAAAAATTTTGGTTATTGGAGGGAAGGTTTTCATATAAAATCTGACCCTAACACTTAAAAGACCCTCAAGAATATATACCTAGTTCAGCACCTTGCTATTAAATATTATATTTATTTTATAGAAAAACTCCTAGAAACTAACGAAGGTATGTGATTTGCCCAACTTCTAAAAGGAAGTCAGGAAGAGGAAAACTGAAAACAAAGCTCCTGCCATCTAGTGTTTGATCTTTTAATGACACCATAAAGTTGTCTGAGGAGCGCAGGCAGAATAGCCTTGCATTTCAGAAAGCAAAGTCTTGGAGGTCACCAAGATGGCAAAGTAGGAGATCCCAGCCTCTGTCTTCCCACAGTTAGACAACTACCCACGAACAAGAACAGCTCTGGGAGAGTTTAGGAATCCTTCTAAGAAACTTCCACAACACTGTAGAACAACAACTACAAAACCTGAAAATAACCACACAAAAAGGGAAGAGCAGGCAGTTTCATTTTGCCTGCCTCATGCCATCCTGCAGGCCTGCATTGCTCACTGCCAAGAGGGAAACACTCTTGCTGGGAAAGGGAGAGTGGTGAACCAGCAGCTTCCCTAGCCTTTTGGGCCACTACAAGAAGGACCTGGATTGGTTTTACTCCACGCAGAGACCGCAAAGCTGAGATGCATAAAGACAGCTAGGAACAAGGAAGAAGGGCTGGGGCTACCAGTATCAGTCACACGGTGGGCGTTACTATGGTTCCCAGGGACCTGCTCTGCAGAGGGCCCCAGTAGTTTTTACCACTGAAGAAACCAACCAACATAGCAGCTGCAGACCTCCCCTGCAAATTTCACTGTTTTCCCCAACACACAGGTATTCACATTCACAAACAGCAGCTGCTTGAGTCCCTCTCCACTCCCTTCCTCACCCCATTGCCATCCCAGGGCTCACCTGTAGCTGGTTCCCAAGCTGTGCACCTACAAGCCCTTGGCCTGAATTCTGTACTGGCCTTCACTGCCACGCATATGTCTTAGGAAGACACTGCAGTCACAGGAATGCACACCGACAGCCAGGGTCCCCACAGCTATTTGTGGGCCTGGTCCTGGTCCTGTTTCCTGTCATTGACTCACACAGTTGGGCTTGCTTGCAACCAGTCCCTCCAGCTGTGTACCTGCATCTAACCAGCCTGACTCCCATAACAGCCTCCACTGCTGTGCACATGACCAAGGTCTGCAGCCACAAGAGTGCGTGCCAACAGCCAGGGTCCTCACAGTGCCAATGCACTTACAGTTAGTCCTAGTCCTTGCTGCCAGCCCTGCCCTCCCCCACTATATGTATGTCTGCAACCAGCCCCTGCCACTACACAGGCACCTGCAGCTGGCCCCTGCAACTGTGTGTATGCCTGACACCAGCTCTAGCAACAACCACTTCCTGTCCTGGTCCCTAGGTACTGGACCTGGAGGCATCACTGAAGATACCAACAGCACTTGCAGCCATTTCAAGGACCCTAGCACTTCAAAGGACCACAGAGTTAATGTTGTGGGCCCCAGTGGCCTGACCTGAGGAGACATCACACTCACCAGATCTGGGTCTTCCACATGACTCTGCACTTGGTGCCCTGCACCACTAGACTGAGGGTCATAGCATGCTCCATTGTGCCTCACCTATAGGTGAAGGTCCTTTACTGAGATCAGCCCATAAAGTCTGGAAGATGTGACTGCTTCTTCCTGTGCACAGACACCTATGCAAGGCTCCAGGGATCACAGAGTCAGGGAAATATGACTCTACCAAAGGAACACAGTAAACTTATAGCAACTGACCTCAAAGAAATGAAGATACATGAATGACCTGACAAAAATTTAAAACAATTGTTCTAAAGATACTCAGAAATATAAGAGAAGACAGAGAGACAATTTAATGAAATCAGCAACACAATATAAGAACAAAATGAGAACTTCACCGAAGGTATAGAAAAGATAAAAAAGAACCAGAAGTTTTGGAGCTAAAGAATACAGTGTTGAACTGAAGAATTCAGTAAAGAGCTTCGGCAGAAGGGACCAAGCAGAAGAAAAAATCAGTAAGCTCAAAGACAAATTATTTGAAATTACTTAAGCAGAGGAACAAAAAGAAAAAAAAAGGAATTAAGAAGGCCTATGGGATTCATGGGACACCATAAAAAGAAATGATATACATGTCACTGGAGTCCCAGAAGGAGAAGAGAGTGAGCAGAAAGTTTATTTAAAGATAATGGCTTTTGAACTTCCCAAACCTGGGGAGAGATTTGGACATCCAAGTTCATTTAATAATAGTTTATCTCATAATTTCAGTCCAAAATGATTTCTCCAAGACACATAACAATAATAAAACTGTCTAAAAGCAAAAACAGAATTTCAAAGGTAGCAAGAGAGAAAAATTTTTCCTCTTAAAAGAGAACCACCATAAAGCTATCAGTGGATTTGTCAGCAGAAATCCTACAGTCTAGGAGAGAGTAGGATGATAAATTTAAGGTGCTGAAAGAAAAAAACAAAAACAAAAATAACCCCTGCCACCCAAGAATACTTTACCTAGCAAAACTGTCCTTCAGAAATGAAGGTGAGATAAAGACTTTCACAAACAAAGGCAAAGGGAATTCTTTGCCATAAGACCTGCCTTGGAAGAAATGCTAGTTCTTCAAGCTGAAATGAAAAGATACTAATTAGTAACAGGAAAACATGAAAATATGCAATACACCTTTCTGGAAAGATAAGTATATAGTTGGATTCACAATACTGTAATAGTGATGTGTCAATCACTTAACTCTAGTATAGAGGTTAAAGGGAAAAAGTATTAAAAATAGTTATAGCTGTAATAATTGTCAATGGATATATGATATAAAGAGATATAAATTCTGACATCAAAAGCATAAGATTTTGGGGCAGAGTAAAAAGTAGAGTTTTTATGCAAATAAGGTTAAATTGTTATCAGCTTAAAAGAATTTTATATCTGTAACATATTTCAAGTAAATCTCAGAGTAAACACAAAACAAAAACCTATCACGGATACTCAAAAGGTAAAGAGAAGGGAATCAAACTATACTTCTATGGCAAATCAGCAATTCAGGAAGGAGGGCAGGAAGGGTGGGAGGGAGGGAGGAAGGAAGGAAGGAAGGAAGGACAAAACAGCCAGAAAACAATTAAGAAAATGTCAATTTTAAGTCATTTTCTATCAGTAATTTAAGTGTAAAGTTTTCCCTCTCCCTCTGCCCCTCCCTCCTGCTCATGCTCTCTTTGTCTCTGTCTCTCTCAGATAAATAAATAAAATCTTTAAAAAAAAAAAAGGTGTGGGGTGCCTGGGTGGCTCAGTCGGTTAAGCATCTGCCTTCTGCTCAGGTCATGGTCCCAGGGTCCTGGGATCGAGCCCCGCATTGGGCTCCCTGCTCCGCGGGAGCCCTGCTTCTCCCTCTCCCACTCCCCCTGCTTGTGTTCCCTCTCTCGCTGTGTCTCTCTCTGTCAAATAAATTCTTTAAAAAAAATAAATAAATGTAAAGTTTTTCAGTCAAAAGGCAAAGAGTGGCTGAGTGAATAAAGGTACAACTATATACTGCCTGCAAGAGACTCCCTTCAGCTTCAAGGACACACAGATTCACAGTGAAGGGATAGAAAAAGGTACTTCATGCATATAGAGACCAAAAATGAGTAGAGGTAGCTATACTTATATTACACAAAATAGGCTTTAATTTAAAAGCTGTTATAAGGGGCACCTGGGTGGCTCAGTCATTTGTCTGTGTTCAGCTCAGGTCATGAGCCCAGGAGCCTGGGATCAAGACTTGCATCTGGCTCCCTGCTCAGTGGGGAGTCAGCTTGTCTCTCTCCCTCTGCCCCTCCCCCCACTTCTCTCTCTCTCTCTCTCTCAAATAAATAAATAAAATCTTTAAAAAAAGCTGCTAAAAGAAACAAAGAAGGAGCAAAAGGACTACTATGAACAATTATATACCAAAAAATTGGACAACCTAGAATACTGGATAAATTCCTAGAAAATACTACCTACCAAGACTGAATCAGAAAGAAATAGAAATAGAAAATCTGAATCGACCAATAAGAAGATTAAATTGGTAATCAAAAACCTCCCAACAAAGAAAAATTCAGGGGCAGATGGCTTCATTGATAAATCCTACCAAATTTTTAAAGACAAATTAATGTCAGTTCTTCTCAAACTCTTCCAAAAACTTGAAGAGGTGGGGACACTCCCAAACTCATTATATGAAGCCAGAATTACCCTGATGCCAGAGCCAGAGAAGGACACTACAAGAAAAGAAAACTACAGGCCAATATCCCTGATGATTATAGATGCAAAATTTCCCAACAAAATACTTGCAAACCAAATTCAACAGCACATTAAAAAGATCATATACACCATGACCGAGAAAATTTATCCCTGGGATGCAAGGATGATACACAAATCAATAAATCTGATAAAGCATATTAATAAAATGAAAGACAGAAATCATTGATCATCTCAATAGAAGCAGAAAAAGCATTTGGAAAAATGTAACATCTCATAAAAACTTTCAACAAATTAGGTATAGAAAAACATATCTCAGCGTAATAGAGTTCATGTATGACAACCTAGAGCTATCATCATACTCAGTGGTAAGATGTTGGAAGTACTTCCTCTAAAATCAGGAACAAAATAAGTGTTCCCACGCTCACCATTCCTATTCAACATTGTACTAGAAGTCTTAGAGTAATCAGAGAAGAAAATGAAATAAAAGGCATTCAGACTGGAAAGGAGAAGTAAAATTGTGTCTGTTTGATGATGATACAATCTTGTATGTAGAAAATCCTGAAGACTCCTCCAAAATACTCTTAGAACTAATAAATGAATTCTCTAAAGTCTCAGGATGCAAGATAAATATATACAAATCAGTTGGGTTTCTATACACTGACAATGAAAGTTTTGAAAACTTAAGAAAAAAATCCCACTTACAAAGGCATAAAAAAATACTTAGGAATAAATTAAACCAAGGAAGTGGAAGATCTATACACTGAAAACTATAACACACTGTTTCTCTGTGTCCCAGGCAGCAGCTGTCTACATGTAAGTCACAACCCTCCATTAAACTCATTCAAAACAATCCTTTGTCTCCCAAAGATTTCTCTTTTTAAAGAATTTGTCAGATTTGATGTCTCTCTCTACAGTTTTTTTTTTTTGATAAATTTATTTTGGAATAAGGAAACTACAGCCTTTATTAATATGTCATTTTGATGGGAGCCTATCCCTGATCCATGTAATTAGCTATAAAATAAAAATTTGGGTTAGATTAAATTGAAAGTCCTGCCTAGTCCTACCCATTCTATGATTTTATTGTTGAGGACGAATATTTTGGGGGAAATAAAGAGAGGCACATATGGAAAGACACAGTAGTTTAATAAAAAAAAATATGGTCCTTGTAAATTTCAGACAGTTGGTCTGCAAATTTCAGGCAGACCTAATTTTGGTCCTACCAAGAATGAACTGAGTGGCCTTAGGCAAGGTATTTAATCTTCTAGAACTTTAGTTTCTTTGATTCTGAAGTAGATTCTGTGTCTTATCACAGGGTTGTACGAAAAATTAGATGAGATAATGTATGCCAAATGTACAATAACTCCACTAAAGTGATTGATAGCTATTATGAATAGTCACTAAAAACAATTTTAACTCATATTTTTACACTGGGGTTTGCTTCAGAGATTAATGATATATACCTCCTATACCTCAATTTTTGCTCATTCAGCTCAGAACAACTTTAATTCCAGATAAACCCATAGTGTAGCACCGATATCTTCTCCCAGTTTAGCTTCTTGATGGGTCTATTTTTCAAATAATACATGCATACATTTAGATATCAGAATCAATTAGGATATGTTCATTTACTTTCATTTGAGTTTTCCAATTTGAATTCACACTCCTCTGTTTATGATATACCAATTATTTTTACGGAGTTCAAGAAGGAAATTTAAAGCAGGAGGTTTTGACTTTCAAAGTTTGGAAATTCAGTTATACAGAGAACTTAGTGACACACGAACACTCAAATTCACAAAATGAATGAGAAAAAAAATCCTTGAAAAGGTAATAACTGGTAGCAGAGTGATTTTAAAATGAATGTTAGATTGTTCTGGAAGGTGTTAGCAGCTCTTCAAATGCATCTGAATAGCTGTGAAGAATAGATAATTATTAACAAAATTTGCCAAAGGGAGATATCTATTAAAAGTACAATAGCTTCCACGGTACTAGTGAAAGAACAGTTTTTACAATCAACTGAAAAATATTGTGATTTGGCACTTGGAAACTCAGTCAGAAACTAGTCTTGGAACAAAATAAAATATCTTACCTGGATACTTTCCAAATATGCATAAATTCTAGAAGTTGGTTCAGATAAAACTGACTGTGGTCATCTTCATGCTGTAGAGAGCAGAATATATTAATATTTATAGAGTGAATAGACATGAGTACCAGATAAAAATAGGTCTGTAACTTCCTGCTGTCATTTTATTCACCTCTTTTGATAACCCTTATTCATCATTTTAATACTTTGTTTTAAAGACTTTACAACACTCTTAACTCTGTAAGCACTCTTTTCAAAAAGTGAATCAGAAAACTGGGCTTTGGTTGAGGATAAACCTCGAGGACAATTTGAAAAACATCCTGGCAGCACCAAGGTCAAACATTAAGTTCTCCTGACAGGAAGGCAGTTTGGCAGACACTAGTTCTCTTACATACATGCACAGTTTCTTTGCATTTAGGCTGTGGATGCCATGGCAGTATGAGACTTGACAGCTTGCCAGATCAGCTGGCAGACTCAGAATGAACTCCATTTTTCAACTTTACCACATCTTGCCTCCCAAATATTAGTGTAAGAGGAGTTATCAGGAGGCATGTGTTTTCTCCCAAGATGAGCAGGAACTACTCATCATAAAATATCAGTCCTGTGGTCCATATGCATAAACACACAAACACACACGCATACACACACACACACACACGCCCCATAACTCCTCGATTAGCTCTTCTGCAACAGGCACTCATGAAAATCCTATGCAAGTCTGCAAGGGAGAATGCAATATACTCCCTCATAATGGCACTATTTCACTATGCACAGCTGTTAAGTTTGAGAGCTGAGTGAGTCCCTAAATGCCTGGAGTGCATGTAATCTTGTTATGTTAATATACTATCTATTCTTAAAACTGCCTATTAGAACTCCCGACAGAGAACATCAGAAGGAAAACCTTTATATGGCCTAAGGTTAAAGGTATATTAATATTTTTATTGGGTGGTTTTGTGAGGAAGAGTAAGGAAACTGTTACATGGAGAAAATAAGGCCATCCCTATAATACAATACTTTGAATGCATGCTATAAAAAAGAAACACTTTCAGAAGAAGAAAAGAAACCTCTTTCTGAAGTTAAAACCAAAGCAAGCATATAAATAATGACTTATTTGCATCTTTCTATATAGCATAATCATATTCATTTTAAAACCACTTTCCTTGGCTTCCAGAGATGCTTTTGGGGGAGAAATTGGCCTTTGTCATATTGTCACTTACAAGAAAATTATTTTTATTTAAAGGAGCTCAAAAGTCTGGAGAACAGATTTGAGCAGTTGTCCATGGACTATATTGTACACTTTACTTTTCTCCAAAGCTGAAGACCATCCATTCTTTCATCTTAAGGAGAAAGTTAAGATGTCTTTTTCATACAAAAATCTACTGCTGTATGTGTTCTGTGAATGTTTCCTTGAGCTAGAATGAAATCTTGATTTTATTATTAATATCAACAGTGTTGGCAATACTTATCAAATTTGAGAGAGATAAAGAGAGAACAATTTTTTTATAAAAGACTCAGTTATACACATCTAATCAGGATGGGGATTGTAAAATTTTGAAATCTAGAAAGATTTCTAAGGGCTGTCAATGTATTTTATGAATAATCTCATGGAACAAGAATTAAATTACCATATTTCAGTATAACACAAGCAAATTTAAAATAGGAAAGGCATCTGAGATGAATTGAGCTTTGCAATATGCTTGTAGAATTAGAGAACTCTAAAGTATCTACTGTAAGGCAATGGTGTCAAAAAATTTAATGGAATGACAATCATCATTATGTTCCTAGTATTATATAGAAAGAATATCTTAAGCCATTTTATGTTATTTTACTGGAAAGAAAATATAATTGTTTATAAATGCTTTTATACAGCAAAAATTATGAAAATCATAGATCATTTTAACACCACATTAAACAATAGAATCAAGAGAGGAGACCATTCAGTATCTCCTTACCGTATAGAGTTTTTAACAGTAAAAGGCTAAAATACCATCTAGTCTAACACCCTAAGTTTATTACATCAATAACTGATACTTATGTAGTCCTGATTAGGCACAGGCACTGATTTAAGCTCTTCATTTACATTTCTCAATTAAGTTCTAATAATAACCATATTAGGTATGTATTATTATTTACATTTTTTAAACCAGAAAACTAGGGTGAATATAAACATTTGTCCAAGAGCAGACATTTGAATTTGGCAGTACGAATCCAGAAACTGTTTTTAAACAAGTTGCCAAATTAGTAAATTTAACACTCTTTATTTTTTAGGTTGAAAGCTAGATCTATATGCTCTAGGATTTATACATAAAAATAATCACCACAGCTAGTCCTTACCCTAGGCTTTAGAAGCATAGTTATCTTTTCTTTCAAAGCACATATCTCTATCAGACTTTTTAAAAAAAATTATTTTATTTTACTTTAGAGAGAGAGAGAGAATGCATGTGAACATGTGCACGAGTGGAGGAAGGGGCAGAGGGAGGGAATCTTCAAGCAGACCCCCTGCTGAGGGTAGAGCCCTTTGTGGAGCTTGATCCAATGACCCATGAGATCATGACCTGAGCCAAAACCAACAGTTGGATACTCAACTGACTGAGCCACCCAAATGCCCCTAAGTCTATCAGACTTTTAAATGCATATTTGTTTATTGCATGTCTTCTTCACTAGGATGAGAATTCTGCATTCTAGAATAAGTAATGAGATGTCTTGTTTGTCTCTGTATCTCCAGTGTTTAGAAGAGTGCCTGGTATATGGTAGGTGCTCAATTACCATTTGTTCAATGAACAAATAAGTATCAATCTGCATATATATTTTTTCATTCCTAATTCTGAATTTTAAGTAGGTTCACTATCCTATTCCTTCACATATGAGATCCTTAAAGGCAAGTACTAAATATGGCATGTAAAAAGTATTTAAGAAATATTTATTGAATTAATTATTTTCAGATTATATATGTAATGTACTTAGCATGGTATCTGAAAGTAAATCCTCATAGATTTTAATAAAATGTAATATCTTCTCTTTGGAATATGATGCTAAAGAAAAAAATCCTTCAAGAACCAGGATTTTGGGAGATGGAAACATGGAATGCCTTTCTTAATAGTCTATATGGAGGCCACCACTACTCTTTAACTGAGAGTCAGAGCTGGCTGAATGAGGCTGGGATTTTCTTGATTTTGTTCAGTACTCTAACTAACATTAGGGTAGGGCCTAGTACACAGCAGTTACATAGTTAATAGTTTGAGTGAATGGAGAATATATAAATATCTGTGTCATCAAGGGTATTAGCTATTTTTAAATAACAGTGTTAGTGCTAGGAAAAATTGTGGATGAGAAAAAGCATTTATACTCTTTACCTGTAAACTGTTGAATTAGCCAAGAGATGGTGATATTCACTGTAGGAAGTAAAGTTTGTGAGTTGAAGCATAAAAAAGGCAGCCATGTAACTTACTTCCTGCTATGATCCAAATGACACATTGAAAAGCAGGCATTTCTAGTGACAGTTATACACTTTACACGCAGAAATGATTATATGCTTGTCCCAACAACATATGACAACACCCCAAAGATACTTATTGGCTGGCATTATGATATAGTAAGCTCTGTCACCAGACTAGCTTTGCTCAAATCCCATCTCCCTTATTTACTAGCTGTGAGACTTTGGGCCATTCAGTTACTCTTTTGAATTTTCAGTACTTTTATTTAAAAAAGGAAAATAATAGTAATTATCCCTTTTTTTTTTTTTTGCTCTTGAGCTGTTGTGAGTTAATACATGTAAACACCTATGATGTTCCAGACTTCGGGGTAAGTGGAATAGCTGTGGAAAACAAAACAAGGGGCGCCTGGGTGGCTCAGTCGGCTAAATGTCTGACTCGATTTCCGCTCAGGTCATGATCTCAGGGTCTTGAGATCAAGCCCCACGTCAGGATCAGTGCTGGGAGTGGAGCCTGTTTAAGATTCTCTCTCTTCCTCTCTCTTTGCCCCTCCCCACTCTCTCTCTAAAATAGCAAACAAAATAGGCTAGAATTTTTACCAGTTGTGCTGAAAGTCACATCTAAACCTTTTGCGTTCAGTCACCTCTAAATCTTAAGTGTACTTGTCATATAAATTGATAGCATAAAGTATGGGCTATGGAGACTGACTGGGTTCAAACCCAAGCTCCTCTGCTTGCTTACTAGTCCCATGAATATGATCTGGGGAAAGTTATGGAGCTCCCTGTGATTCATTTTCGTTATTTTTAATAGTATTTGCCGCATAGAATTATTGTGAAGTTTAAATATAATAGAAATGTGAATTCCTAGACATAAAATATGTGTCAGTACACATTGTATCCCAGTAGTGGTGTTAAATGGATTTAAGTATAAACCTTAATTTACATGAAACTGAAATGTTAGTGATTTGTGAATTACTCCCAATGAGATAAGTTATTTTTTAGCAACATGAAAGTTCTCAAGGAGAATAGAAATTCTAATTATACGTTTTCTCGTCTTCCCCCATGTTGAAATGAAACATGATGATTTCAGCTTTTTCAAAACATTGAGGACAATTTGAAGACTCTTAGGATATATTAATATTAAGAGTATTAGTTGTACTTTATAATGTTTCTCTGTGGAGATTTCAGATGCATAGCTCTGGAGCTGTCAACACTGGCTGAGTTGAGTACCAATTCCAAAAGATTTTTCTAAACAACTCTCTTTTGGCCTCGTTATGTTATATTCCACATAGATATATTGCAACCTAATGCACTACCTGACACTTTTTATGATGAAACACCTCAAACTAGAAAAAAAAGAAAAAGAGTCATGCACTGGAAATCTGTTATCTGATGTAAATGACAGGGTGAATGGGATTTTTGCTTAAAGCAGGTAATTGGAAGATTCTACAGATAAAGCTGCCAAAATATCAAAAGTTCATTGCATACTGTGCAATTTGGGTTTGAAATAACTCAAGACATCACATAGGGAATAAAATTCATATCTAACAGCATGAAATTGTGTCATTAAAGCAGAGTAATCCCTTTTGAGGTAGTTTTATTATATATATTATGAATATTAATCTGTCCTGATTTAAATTGTGTCGATACCGACATAAATAGTCTTCAGATAGAATGAGAGGTGTGTTATTTTTCTTTCTTCAGTGGTTTCCCCTTCACATTTTTTATTCTGTTCACTTCCTAGTAGCTTCATGGATAGTATGAATGTAATAACTTTAATAAGTTTCTCATAAATGATTTTTCCAAGAGGCCAATTGATTTACTGTTATACTAAGGTTGCAATAATGTGTTCATGTAATTGCTTCAGTCCAAATTGTTAACAGGCATTTAGATAAATATTTCATTATGTTTCAGTAAATATACTCAAAGGAACATGTATTCATTAAGCTATGTAATTCCAAATTGGCAACAATCCATAAAGATAGGAATATTGTCCTTAAAATGATCAGCTTGAAAATTGAGACTAATGCTAAGAAAATCTTACCTTTCGACATAACTTTCCTGGAACATTCCCATTTTTCTGCAGATTGAGTTGAATAACAGATTTATCTTTCTGAAATATTTTGTGGCTCCCCAAAGAAAAATCACTAAAGGAGAAAAAAAATGAATACAGTCATTTCCTCCCATAAAACGCCCAAGTGTATGTTTTCCTCTCTCAGTTTCTTTTCTTTTCTTTTGGAACTTAGTCTGGTAAAAGTTTTATATAAAGCCTTAGTTTTATACATTTATTTAAAAATATATCCTCATATTCATTTTTAAATGACAATTGAAAATATTAGTTATTAAGCTATTACAATTATTTTTAAAGTATATCAAGTTAGAAAATGATTAGATACCTTTAGAATGGACATAAATTATAATAAAGAATATTTTACATATTCAGAGTTAGTTTTATCTGGCCATCTCAAAGCTGAGGACAACATGCTTCTGGGAGGTCTAACTGATGCCACAAAGTATATGTGGACACAATGTGGAGCAGTGGGGTAGAAATGTCATAGGCTTTAGAGACAGATATACTAGCTCCATGATAGGCAGGCCAATTAAACTATCTGAAACTCAATATATATTTTTAAAATTGATATTATTAATATCTACATCAAAGGGTTGATGAGCAAATTAAACAGAAAAAATATCCCTACATATTTCAGTAATTTCTAATGGCATAATTTTTCTTTCTTTCTTCCTCCATCCCTCCCTCCTTTCTTTCCTTCCTTTCCTGTCCTTCCTTCCTTTCTTCCTTCCTTCCTTCCTTCTCTCCCTCTGTAAGACTCTTTAAAAAGGATGAATTTATTAGTGTACTTTGTTTAAGGATCTTAGTTAAATATATGAAAGGTTTCAGAAGAGAAAAAAACCTTATATGTTAAAACATCTGAGGCCCTTAAGGTGATATATTCATTTATCTGGAAAATTCACCTAATATTTGGGACCACTTATTTTCAACAATGGCAGAAAAATAAAGCATTACTCTGTTGATAGCTACTAAATTTTCTGTAAATGTTCTTATTTTGACAATTGCTATTTTTTTTAAGAAAACTCAACACCTATCCCCTTGTCAAAATGGTGAATATTGGTATTCACAACATGTGTTCTACATCCTATGTCCCTTCCTCCTGTTAGATTCCTGTCCCAGCGCTCTCCACGAGCTCTATATTGCTCCTTGAGTTATTTCTATTGCTAGGCTAAACATAAGGCATGGCATGTGTGTTCCTTGAGCCCCTGTCTTCCTCATCACCCAAGTTCTGCTCCAAAGGCATTCTCCATATTCTCACATGGATTCAAGTTCCTCTCCTTTCACACCCAACCCAAAATCCTCTTTCCATGCTCAGAGTCCTGTTTTCCTATTCCTATTCGGGGAACCAGCTTAAGAGTAGTGGCCCACCTTGCTATCAAAATTTCCTTTCCTCAGTGTGTTGAAGTCTGGACAATGGACCCCAGTCTAGTGACTTCAGTCTTGGATATCATTACTACTTTCTTGAACTAACTTTTTACTTCACCCACCTGTATGTATGCCCCTTACTAGGGCTTCCAGATAAAATAGAAGATGGCCGATAAATATGAATTTCAGATAATAGTGAATAATTTTTTTAGTATGGGTATGTGTCATGTAATATTTTATATATAATTTAAAAATTTGGGGTTTTAATGAAAACAGCCTATATATTTTCATTTACTAAATCTGCCAATTCTACCCCTTTCTAAAAGTAGGATCTAATTCTTCCCTTATCTTTGCCTCACTCTCTGTATGGATGTGTGTGTGTATGTGTGTATGGCAAGATCTGAGTAATTATCAGATTTTGGGTAATTATCAGCTTTTGCAAGTCTCTTTTTTCCCCTATAACTCATCTCTCCATTTTTTTAAACTTACTTTATAGGAATGTAGTCTCATGGAAAACATTTGAATTGTAGTAAACTGTAAAAAATAAAACAGGTAAGAAAGATTCTCCTCTTTCTCTTTTCCAGAATAACAATTTCTTGGAGTTTATGGCACTTCTTTTGTAAGTCAAAATAAGTGGCCAATTACATATATATTTCTGTTAAAAATGAAATCATTTTATTTTAGCTATATCTCTAGCCTACAGCTAAGTGTTTTTTAACTCATTTTCTGAGACTGCTTTATAATCAGAAAATTTAAACTATCTCACTCATAGCAATGCCTTTTGCTATGTTATAGTTGGTTTATATTAACTATGATTTTTTAATTATTTTCCTTCATTTGTTGAGATTGAGTCTTCTTTGAGTCTCTTCTTTATCTTTAGAGGCTTGGGAGACATAAATGTATTTTTAACATCCAGTGGTTACCTAATTTTTAAATAACATGTATCTTAAGTCTTTTCCATTGTAACCTCAATTTAATCCCAGTGTTTATCACACTCTCAAATAAGCCTTAGAGCCAAAATATGACTTCAGTTCATTTCTCTCCCATTGCCCTCCAATCGCCCAATTAGAGACCATTTTCAGTTGTAGTTCCATATTCTCTTATCACTAAACTGATGAGATCGAGAAAAGTGTAAATAAAACAAAGTTAGAGATGGGAATTATGGAAAAAAATCTTAGAACATTTCATTTTTTAACTAAAAATATCTAAATAGACTCTCAATCGCCTAAGTTTTAATATCAGAATAGAGAAATCCTTTGATATAGGATGCAGGGTCTGTTGATTACGATTTTATGGCTTCTTTCTGGCATAAACCAAACCTATAAGTAATTATTTCTAACTTCTAGTTCCACGTTCTTTATAAAGAGCATGTACTTGGACTTGAAGAACAACCTAAATAAGGAATTGGTTTAGATTTTTATAATTATTGGCTCTAATCTTTTATTTTTATTTTTTTATTATTATGTTAATCACCATACATTACATCATTAGTTTTTGATGTAGTGTTCCATGATTCATTGTTTGTGTATAACACCCAGTGCTCCATGCAGAATGTGCCCTCTTTAATACCCATCACCAGGCTAACTCATCCCCCCACCCCCCTCCCCTCTAGAACCCTCAGTTTGTTTCTCAGAGTCCATAGTCTCTCATGGTTCGTCTCCCCCTCCGATTTCCCCCCCTTCATTCTTCCCCTCCTGCTATCTTCTTTTTTTTTGTTTAACATATAATGTATTGTTTCAGAGGTAAAGGTCTGTGATTCAACCGACTTACACAATTCACAGGGCTCACCATAGCACATACCCTCCCCAATATCTATCACCCAGCCACCCCATCCCTCTCATGCCCCACCACTCCAGCAACCCTCAATTTGTTTCCTGAGATTAAGAATTCCTCGTGGATGGAACTCGAGGGCATTATGCTGAGCGAAATAAGTCAATCAGAGAAAGACAGGTATCATATGACCTCACTGATATGAGGAATTGCTCTAATCTTTTAAACTTGTTTCTTCCACATTTAATTTAGCAGTAATAGTTTTTAATGATTCCTCTTTATCAATTATCTATAAAGAATTCAACTTAATTTTTTTCATAGCAACACTTTCTTTTTTGTTCTTTATACTTATGTCTTTATATATAATCTATCTAGAATGCATTTGTTGAGTAAAGAGTGATATGTAGCTCCAATTTTAGACATTTTTCCGACATAATGGCAATTTTCTGGAACATTTTTAATGAGGACATCTTTTCATCTCTGACCTATTACATTTATCACATGACCAGTTTTTATAAATATCTGATCTGTTTCTGGACTCTATATATCTCATTAATCTACACATTATTCCTGTGCCAGTACCAAATTGTTTCAATTATTTAATTTTCTAGCATATTTTGAAGTGTGGAAATGAAAGTCACTATTTAAAAAATTATATTATCTATTTTTGCCCAGTTTCGCTTCCAGAACAATTTTAGAAGTAGTGTGCCAATGCTAAGGAGAAAATGCTAATATAGTGTTGACTTATATTTAATTTATGGGATTATGTAAGAAGAATTGATATTTTTATAATATTGAATCTTCTTTTCAAGGATAAGTATATTTTTACATGCACTCTAATCCTCTTTTATGCCCTTGAGTAAAGTGTTCATTTTCTTTCAGGTCATCATTACACACATTATGCTTTTTGCAAGATATTTTAAAGATTCTGTTCTATTTAAGTCAAAGTTTTTTTTCATGATATTTATTCATTGGTTTTATGTGTTGACTTAGCTTGTGGAATCTTGTAATACTTAATGGTTTTTCAGTTGATTATTTTGGATTTTCTAAATAGAAAATTATATTCTTTTAAAATAATTAGAGTTTTATCTATTGTTTCCCAACATTTTTGCTTCCTGTTGTCTGGAACACTCTTGGATAGAGGTAATGATAGTAGATGCCCTTCTCATTTTCTTGCTTTTATAGGAAATGCCTCAAATGATTAATAGTCAGATATGATATTTGCTGTGTATTCCTGCTGTATATTTTTTTGTGTTCTATTTTGTTAATGATTTTTAAAAATTATAAATAAGTTTCAAATTTTATCAGATAGGTTTTCTGTATTTGGTGCATCATATTGAGAAGATCATTTTTTTTCTTGAATGTGTTAATATACTAATTACATTGATAGATTTTCCTAATGTATAACTATCTTTACATTTTTGTGTAGATTTGTCCCACTAGCAGATTTAGTTAGCAGATTTTTAAGGTTTCTTGCATATGTCAAAATTTAGATAGGCCTATAATTTTAAGATTTTATTACCTTTGTTTGTTTTAGGCATCACAATTAGGCCAGCCTTGGAAACTGCATATATATTTTCTCTGTCCTGGAACAGTTTATATAATTGGACAATCCCTAGTCCCTGAAGGTTTGGTGCAATTTGCCAAAAACTAAATTTTCACTCCACACTGCTCATTGTTTTCCTACTTTTATACTTTTCTCCTTGAGCTAATTTTGAAAGTGCATCATTCCTTAGGAAATTGTTTTGTTTTTTATAAAGCTGTCAAATGAATGTCCCAAGTTCCTCCTATTTTGGATATCTTTTGACATTTTACCTAGGAGTTCCACAATCCCCTTGCAATTGTTTCGTCCTTCCCATGCTGTCACTCTTCTTGTTTTACCAGGAGGTTTTTTAGTAATAAATTTTCCTGTTGTTTCATGAGAATTTTGGTGGGCTGTTG